GACAGTGAACAGAACTCTACATTTAGTCACATGTCCACCTTGTCATTTCCATACAGTTTTTGAGCCCCCACTCTGGACCATATGCTGTATTAAGCCCTGGGGACATAGAGACAGGTAAACTCTGGCCCTTGCCTTCCAGATATTCACAGATTGGTAGGTGGGGGTTGGGGAAGGGGAAGCATGTGAGATAGACTCTGATGCAGGTGTGATCGTGTGTACCCCTCTCCCTGCCTCCCCATTCCCTTCCAGAGCTGGACTGTGCCTAAAAGCAGCTTGTCATTTCCCCATGTCCATCATGGGTATATTGGCACATATGCCAGCCACTTGTGATCAGAGTGAAAGAGAAGGCTGGCATGGCCGTCGCAGCAGCCTTTGGGCTGAGTATCAGTTGCACACCCCAGGCTCCCAGAGAAGAGAGTCACAGTCTCCCTGCCCATCATCCCATATCTCCCTTCACTCACCCTCTCCTTCCCCCAGATTATCTGGGTCCCCCCAACAGCCCCCCACACACACATCCAGTGATACCCACACAGCGCTCCCTGTAACATAGCCAACCTTATAGCACTTACTATGCTGTAGACTCATGTATGTGCAACAGACACAGCAGAGCACAGTGGTTAAGAGTGGGGGCCCTGGAGCCGGGTTTCTTGAGTTCAGATCCCCATTGCATCACTTATAGGATGCATGGCCTTGGGCGGGTTACTCACCTTTCTGTGCCTCCATTTTCTCATGTGCAAAATGGGCATAATGGTGATACCTACCCTATCAGGTTGTTGTGAAAATCGAGTGACTTACTGTGAATAGACAGCTTCAGCAAGGGCTCGATAGCTGCCATGATAGTTGTGATGAACAGTTTGAGTATTATCATAAATGATACTCCAGTATATGGATCACAGTACATATAATAGTGATGCCAATATTCTTATTATTACTGTCATTATTATTATATGATTAATGTCTGTCTCCCACCACAAGTGAGCTCCATGGCAGCAGGAGCAATCCTGTGGTACGGATAACACATAGTAGGTGCTCAATAAATATTCATTGAATGAGTGAACAAAACACTGAAGGAATAAATGTATCCCCCCACTCATTTAGTCATGCTACCAGATGGCTGCTCCAAAACCACCATTTTTTTGGCAAGTCTCCATGGACAGCCATGGACCCCACAGTATTTCCCCAAATCCTCGGTGTTCAGGTCCACTCATCTCCATGGAGGAGGGCCTTACATCTCCATGCAGGTGCTACTGCCGTCCGGGCAGAGAGAGACTGTGAGAGGAGCTGGCTCCTCTGGGATTGGCTCCAGGTGGTAAGCGGTGGAGCTGGCGTTTGTTCCAGGTCCTCTGGCTTCCCCTGCAGCACCTGTGTCACCCCATTCTCTGCCCCTAGTGCTGCTGACCGTGAGGCTTCAGAGAGGCTGTCCCAGGGCCCTCATGGTCTCCTGTGCACTGCGTCATCTCCTGATTCTGGTGGTTCTTGGCAGCCGTCCCCATGCCCTGCCCAAACTGTCTGCGTTCCATCATGTTCTAAAACCATTGAGCAAGCAACTGCTGAAGCCACGTGTTGAGAAAATGTGTCCAACTTAGGAAGCTTTACGTACCTGGGGCATTAGCACCAGAGCAGTTACTGTCCTCTATAGTAACTCTGTAGCTTAGGGAGGACAAGAGGGGCCTGGAAAGCAGCCTGAGGTTACACACTGGCCCCCGGCAACGAGTCGGCTACCAAGGGTGCTCTAAATGGGGGTCCCGTGGCACAGATGCTGCTGTGGCTTTGCAGCTGTTATTTTGCAAACTGTGGTGCTATCACTACACATCCCAGCCAGGTCCTCCCCATGTGGCACTCAGCTGCAGGTCCCTGAGGTGCCTTCCTACATGACCTTGCCTCTCACTTTCTTGGCTTAGATTACATACTCCATGGTGGTAGCTCACAGAGTGTCCCCTCCCTCCCAGGTAACCCTCCCAAGCTGTGTTGCTCATCTGGGTTTTCTGGGGGCCTTGGGTGGATGGAGACAGTGCAGCAGAATGCCTAGGAGTGCAGGTGCAGGTCCCACAGATCTACCTGGGAGGGGATTATGGGTCACGTTGGGTTGTTTGCTTTGTGGTCCATCTTTCAGCTTTTCTGCATTTGTCACCGAAACCCTCACTTGACTACTTTCAGACAGGATGTTCTTGGGCTTCAGGTTTCTTGAATGTAGAAATGGGATTATAATGCCGCCTTGCCTGGGTTATTGTGGGGATTTAGTGAGCTAGAATTCTTAAATTGCATAAGGCTCTGGCTGGCTCCTATTAATCGCTAAATGGTGTTGCTGTTAACTGCTGTGTTTTTAGCCATCTTGGCTTCTGTTTCTACTCAGAGCAGTTCCTAATGTTTGTGGCCTCCCACAGGGCTCTGCGTTTTTTGTTGTTTTGAGATATAACTCACGTGATATAATATTCATCATTTAAAGTGAATTCAGTGGTTTGTAATGTATTCACAAAGTTGTGCAACCTTCACTGCTGTCTAAGTCCAGAACATATTTATCTCCTCAGAAGAAACCCTGCACCCACAGCACTTGCTCCCTGTCCCCGCCACCCACCACAGCCCTTGCAAGCCACTAGTCCACTTTCTCTCTGTGGATTTGCCTGTTCTGGAGGTCTCATATAAGTAGAATCGTGCAGTGTGTGGCCTTTCATGATGGCCTTCTTTCACTGTGTGTGATGTTTCCAAGGTTCATCCATGTTGCACCATGTGTCAGTGCTTCATTTCTTTTTATGGTGAATATTTCATTGTATGGATACACCACACTTTGTCTATCCAGTCATCAGTTGATGGGTGTTTGGGTTGTTTCCACTTTTTGGCTGTTATGAATAACGCTGCTACGGACATTCACGTACAAGTTTTGCATGGACATATATTTTCAGTTCTCTTAGGAGTACACCTAGGAGAGGAGTTGCTGGCCCATATGGTAACTCTGTATTTGACTTGGTGAGGACCTGCCAAACTATTTTCCTTGGTGCTCTGTTTTGGAAGGACCCTGGCCACTGAGATTTGACTTTTGCATTAGCTAAAGAAGAGGGTCATTGGGAGAGGCAGGGAAAAGGATCTGACAACCAGCACTGAGAGCCCGTGGCACTCACACGTTAGCCTTCAGGCCGCAGCCTCCCCTCATCAACCCAGACAATATCCTCTCGGAGAGCCACCGGCCCAGCTCTGCCGCCATGGCTCTGCCACCATGTGCTGGCCCTTCCCTCTCCCTGTCTCCTTTGCTGACCGTATCCTTTGTACTCTCCCTGCTTTGAACCACGATACCCTTTCTCCCTGTGTCCCGCACCTGGCCATAGAGGCCTGACGGGTCAATCTGTGCTGGAAAAGAATACAGTGGAGGCTGAGCTGCCCACTCACTTACCAGTGATCTAGAAATGTTCTGAGCCAACAAGCAGTGTCATTGCAGAGTCCTGGGGGAAGGACACTCTCTGGAGAGGTGTTCTCCTCAAACATGTCCCATCCTTAGGAATAAGTGAGTCCGAGTGAGGAGAACTCATCAGCTTCATAAACAGGCACGTTTCTTAGTCTCCCCGAGGCTCAGTTTCTTTATCTTTAAAATGGGTTTAAAATTGCCTGCCTGATAATGGGATTAAGTGAGATACCATGGACAAAGCTCCCAGCAGTGTTCAAGAGACTCAAGTGTTCTCCCCAGCTGCTCTCCCTCCTGGTCAGGTGCAAGGGGCATGTTCAGAAACTGCGATTGTTCAGTAACATTCGCCCCCTCCGCTTTTTGTCTTCTCCCCCTTCCTTCCCACCCCCTTCTTTTTCCTTTCCCCTCCTCTCCTTTCCCCCTGCCTTGTTTTTATGCTGCCCTCAGCTCCTGCTCCACACAGGGCCTGGGATTCTCCTAGTGTAGACCCAGGGAACTGCCAGATCTTAAGTCGCTGTTGTGCTCTTGGGGAAGCAACCAGGCCAAATCCTCTTAGGGCAGATCAGATTATGCCCTGGGTCATTTTGCAGCACAGATTCCCAGGTCATGGTGGTGGCATAGGCAGCCAGGAGGTATCCAGCCTGCACCCGCTGGTCACCAGGGAGTGTGGACTCCCCAGAGGGGTGGCAGCGTCTGGTTTCACCTGTCTGGCTCCCCAGGTTTCAGTTTCCTTCCACAGGAGATCCTAGCCAGGGGCTAGAGCTTTGAGTTACACTTGGACTGGAGGTCATCTGAGAGGCCTGGGCTGTGGGAGGAAGCCCGGGCTTCCACAGCACTGTGCCCTGGCCTTGACTGTGTGCCCCGTGCCTGTTCTGCCAGGGTGTGTGGAGCAAAGGACACCCACCTGCTGAGGGTCCAGTGGGCCAAACGCAATGTGGAGTCGCGTGGCTGCTAGTGAATTAGTGAATGAATGGTGTTCATGCTGCCTCGGTTACTCTTTTAAAATAATTTTATGGATAACAAAAGACTACATTTTTAATACAGAAAGTTCAGGAAGCAAAAAAACAGGAAGGGACAAAAACCATAATTCGATCACCTCTGTAATGAATTTCTTCAAAAGTGCTAGTCAGTTAATTCAGACAACTGAAAAGTAGAGAAACCAAAATGCTTAGCTAGTAAATACTAATCATGAAGCAACGGGGACTTTGTTCAGTGACCTGGGGTTCCCTTGCAATGTCTCTCAGGGCATTCCCTCTGGAATTGGAGGGTAACACTCTTAGAAAAAACCTTCCCTCTCCAAGGAATCCAGCCCACATAGAAAGTTCTCTCACAACAAGCTGCAGCTCTAAGCCTCCTAGGTGGGACTGAGCTTTCCCTAAGAACCGACTGGCACATGCACACACAGAGAGACAAAGCCAGCTCCCTGCCTAGACCCCCTGCTGCCAAACCTCTTTGCTAGGGAGATGTGTTCATACCACCTTTTCCTGCTGTTTCTGCTCCAAGCGTGAGGTGATTCCCAGGTGTCCTTGGGAGATGGAAGCTCTTGACTCAGGCAGTGCGGGCACCACACTATTGACCGCTAATTTGCCTTGTCTCTCATTTCCAGCTGTCAGGAATGACAGAAACAAGAAAAAGAAGGAGCCTTCAAAACAAGAATGCACAGAGAGCTACGAGATGACAGCGGAGCTGGACGACCTCACAGAGAAGATCCGGAAAGCGCACCAGGAAACCTTCCCCTCGCTGTGCCAGCTGGGGAAATACACCACGGTGAGACATGCTGTCACCCAGGCTGCAGGGTGTGGGCCCTCACCCATGTGTGCGTGCACAGACACACACACACACTCACACACTCTTTGCCCTGGGCCTGGCAGGGACTGCACCCAAACGTGGCTCAGGGCTTGTGTGTCAGCCAAGTGGAGCTATGCAGTGAGCACTGCCCTCCGAGTAGCAGCCCTTGGCTGGTCCCTGGGTAGGGTGGGTGTCTCCTCAGTTCAGTCACATAGGCCTACGTTCCCTCAGGAAACGTTAGCTGGGCACTTACTATACACCAGGTGAGTGACATGCACTGGCACATGGACTATTTGGTGCTGCTTTCAGGGACTCTGTTCTGGTGAAGGAGACAGGCAGAGCCAGTACAGTATTGCATGGGTCATGACAGACACCTGTACAGAGAGGGGACCCTGAGGTTCAATCTTTTAAGAAGACCAATCCAGCCATAAAAGCCACCCAAGATTATCCCCTGGCCAGGATCTGGCTTCAGTGAGAAGGCATGTATAAAACCCCTAAGCCTGGAAAAGTTCAGGGTAGGTGTGACCCGTCCTCCAGGAGGTGGGTGGCCCCCTGTGTTCCCCAGCATTCTGCAGGAATGGCTTTCACTGAGGTCAGAAACAAAGAGAAGGGAGAGGGAGAGAAAGTGAGATGAAAAAGGTAGGAGGCATGTGTTGGCTGGTCTAGGATGTGAGGTGGGGACATCACGATATGTTTTACTTTTTCAAAGTAGTTTTTGCATGTGTTGTGTTCACTAATATGCATTCCTAGTCTGTAGCACATAAAAGGCATTCAATAGATATTTGATGAATGAGCAAATGAATGAGTGCATATAACTAGCATGTTGTTCTGGCCTCTTTGAATGGCTTATGTTGCTCACCTAAGATGCCAGTAAATGTACTTTAAAAGAAATCCAAATATTGCAGCATTTGCTGGTTTGGTAACTGGTGTGCTAGAAAAAGAATAGTATAAAAGGGCCAGGAGATAAAATGCTGATGGCAGGAAGAAAAAGAAACGGGGTGGAAGGGCTTTGACGCTGTGCTTGTGGAGAACCTCGTGTCATGCATAGGGATGTGGGTGCCACAGTTGTATGTGTGAAATGGGAATGGTGACCAGGAGCAGACCCAGAGAGTCTCCTGTGGAAATTGGTGCCAGAACATGCCCAGGCGGCTTCTCAGGTGAGCATGAGGCTGCATAGTTGGGTGGCAGCCACTCCTGAAGGGCTGGGACTGGCATGAGACAGGGAGGTCTCCTGGCCAAACCAAAGGCTTCAGCTCACCGGGGAGCAGAGGAAGGACCTAGTGCAGTCTCCCCAAAACTCAGTGTGCATCTGAAGCTCCTGGCTCAGCAGGTGCGGCCTGCGGCATCGCCACAGCTCCCAGTGAGGCCGGTACTGCCGCCCTGCAGAGCTAAGGCCATGAACCATGCTTTGAGTAGCAAGACCCAGGATGACTTTACAGGGTCCACCCAGCCCTTGGTGTCAGGGAGGAGAAATGCTGGCGTGCCTGCCACGTTGAGGGAGCTGCGTGGCTCACTGGACCAGCCCCCTTGAGCTTGGAGAGCAGTGTCCTAGCCCAGAGCAGAGACGCAGAGCAGGACAAGGCGGGGCACCATGAGGGAGCTTTCATTTCAGCTGGGAGGACAAGCAGAGGCTGCGGGAGGTGACAGTGTGCATCCTGGAGCCCAGCGTGTGGTTCCTGTGCTGCTCAGCACCAACCAGCCATGTGACCACGAGCACGTGACTCCACCTCCTTCAGCCTCACTTTTCCCCTCTGGAAATGGGATGATGTAAATGGTGGGGAGAGTGCAATGAGCCAATTCATGAAAATCTTCTGTGACGGGACCTGGAAATAGCAACACAGCAGTGGTGCGACAGAACTGCTGTCCAGCACAACCCTGTCTCCTGGGCACGAGTGGACCCTTCAGTGACCTGGCCCCATGCCGGGGCATTCACCAAGGCAGAGAAGTGAAATGACTAACAACCAGTGCCAAGGATGCACTTTCAGAAATAGTTATTGGTCACCAGTATGTTCCAGGTACTGTACTGGGCTAAATATCAAGGCGAGTGAGTCCTACCTAACCTAAGACACAGGAAATCAGCTCAGACTGGGACGGCAGGAGAAAGTGGGGGCTGAGGGACGGTGGGGTCGTGTTGAGAGTGAGTGGGAGTGACAACGGGGAACGCCCAGCGGGGTCTGGAACGCCTGCGAGGAGTTTGCATTTTCATCTGTAAATAATGGCGAGAAATCAGCTGTCTGTGATCAGGAAGCTTTATTATTGTCACCAGAATTATTATTACAGCTAACATTTATTGAGCACTTACTATGTACGAGAGACCATGCTAAGCACTCTAAATATATTAATTATTTTACTCCTTAAGGACTCTGAGCGATGGGTAATACTGCCCCCATGGGACAGACGAGTCAACTGAGGAGTGAAAGGGCTAAATAACACCCCTTGTCCCATAGTCAGCAAGTGGTACAGGTGGGAACCTGGACAGTCTGAGTCCAGGGTAGCTCTTTTAGCCATGACAGTGTACACAGGACACATCAAGAGTGGGGTGGACAGGGGAGAACAGAAGCGGGAGCCATGGGAGGCATCTAGATAGGAGGAGTTAGCTGTCATCCAGGAATAAATCAAACTTTCAGCTCCAGAGAAGAGTAAAAGAACAGTCAGAGTGGCGAGACTTCCTGGAAGGGGAGACTTTGGGGCCAGGTCGTGAGATGAGAGACATCACGTGGCAATATCTGGACTCGTTCGTGACTGTGTCAGGGGCCCCTCCCTCTTCCCCAGGTGGAGGTGTCTTAGTGTGGCCTCATCAGTCCTCCAGGCCCTGACTCACCAGGTAGCCAGATGAAAGTGCTCTTCTCTGACATGGAGGAGAGCAGGGCAAAGGCCACTGAGAGCATTTGCACGTCCTAGAACGCATGCCCTGTGTGGCCTGGACTCCCGCAGAATGGCTTGTGTGTGGGGCAGTGGCACTCCTGAGAGTGAACCCTGTAGGAGCTGATACACTGGAGCTGGTGGGCAAACAGCCCAGCTTCCTTCCACGTGGGCAGGATGACTCTTCAGTGTTCCCTAAACCATCTCCCAGAGCTCCCCAACATCGATCGCCCACAGCGCCCGATCTGCGCGCCGCCTGCCTTCCCTGTCCCATCCACACTCCTCTCCCAGTGCTTCCTGAGATCTCCTCCAGGATAAGCTACTTGCATTCAAATCCTAGCCTTGGGGTCTGTTTCTGGAGTCACACAGAGGGGCTTCCCTGCTGGCCTCCAGGGCCCTTTTCCTTCACCCCACTTTGGGGATGAGACACCATTGGTCTTCAATGGGAGCTTATCATCCTAAGCACTTTGTGGGGACTTTTCTGTTCCTGCTTTGATCAAGCAGGGAAAATAGAATTACACCATCCCCAGAGGGCAGCCCTAACCACGTGGAAGCCTGACCTCCTTCAAGATGCACACTGCCCGTTTGCTGGATTGAGAGTGCTCAGGTACACTCTCTCAGCTGGCTTTCCTCTTTATTTCTGCTATCTCTACACAGATCTAGCTGTATTTTTATTGTAAGTGACTTCAAACCCTTTCTGGAAAAGGGTGGGAGTATAAATAAATAACAGCAGCCATAACACATTCTCTGCAAGCTCTTAGTTCCAAGTCGAGCATTTTTAAAAAGAGCTGTTTTTAGCTAGGCAGTTGCTTCCATGGCAAAAAACTTCCCGCCTCCTTCACCAGAGTGGTATCCCTGTCAGATGCCTTTGGAATAAGTGGGCAGAGAGGAATAAAAACGTTAGCTAGTCACCCACCTACAGATCTTTGAAAGAGTAGTTCCTTTTTCTTCCTTAATTAGGATAGATTTGGGACAAATGGCCAGGTCCCAGGAGGCAGCAGGAATGGATGGGGAAGGCGGAAACATGCCCACCACCCTCCACTTCAGGCCTAGGCAAGGTGCTTACCTCCAAGTTTCAAACCTAGTCTCTTTGGAAAGGTTTCTAACCAGTGATCCCCTCCACAAAAAGGTGGCGGGGAGAGGGTGGATTCCATGTGGAAAGGTGGAAAGCAGGGGGTGGCTATTTATAGATCTCTCCAAAACAGGATCAGGAGTGAACCAGAGCAAACATCCTAGCTCTGCGGATGTTCACTCTGCTTCCTTTGGTCAAACCCTGGTGACTCTGTCATTCGGGCTTTAGGGCCTCATAAACCCAGGTTCAAATCTTGGAGTTGACGCCTACGAGTTGCATGATTTTGGAAAGCTGCATCATCATTTGAGCCTCAGCTCCCTTCTCTGTATAATGAATATTTTTATAGTGCCTACTTTGTGGAGTTGCTGGGAGGGTTCAATGAGAAAAATACATCAGATCACCTTGCATAGTTTCTGGCATGAGAAGGTGTGCAAACTGGGCAGGTCTCCTCTCTCGGTCCTATTATGGCTGTCTTGTCATTGTTTGGTGCCACTGGTGGGTGTTACAGTGAGAGTTTCCACGCGCGGCCCCAGCCTGCTCCCTGCAGCCCGCTAGTCTGTGTGCATGGGCTGTTTGTCACCTCACGGGGCTTGGTAGGACATGAGCTGCCCTCCAAGAGGCTCGTGAATCTGAACCATGAAGATTTAAGCAGCCCTTAATATACGCAGAGAAATGACGACAAACAGAATCACTAAACCACCAAAAGACTTTCCAGGAGACATGCTTTAGAAAAGGAAGGCGATTGTGATTTTGGCTTTCTTTTTAGAAAATCAACATTGTGATCAGCCAAAGAATCAGAACTTGAAACTCAGGAGGTCGACCTCCTAGGAGAGATGCTCCAGGTGGAAGGAAGATCAGTGGGGAGTCCTGAGACCCGAGTTCTGGCTCTGGGTCACCTCACAGACCTTGAACCAGCCCTTGACTTCATGAGCCTCAGTTTCTTACCAGTAAACACACCTGCCCTGTCCATATCACCTAGACTATTCTTTCATTTTCCAGCACACACTTACTAAGTACCTACTGCGTTAGTTTCCGAGGGCTGCTG